ATTAAAAAATCCTTCACTGGAAACCGGGGTTCAGGAATTCCCGTCCCCCCTTTTTACCCCTTTTTTTTTGTTTTTCACCAGTGTTAATTAAGGGTTGCTTTTTTGCCATTCATTCCCGGGACCAAGAGTTGGGGCCGGAACCCTTGGAATTTTTTCAGGGTTTCCCCCAGTTGGCCTTTTTCCCCCCCCCCCGGGTTTTCCCCGTTGGGGGGGGGGGGGGGGAGAGTTTTTTTTTTCCCGGGGGGGGGGTTTCCTTCTTCTTCCCCATTATTTCCTTTGCCAGGGTTCCTTGTTTCCCCCCCCCTGGAGTGTTTTTTTGACTTCCGCCCCGGGAAGGTTTGGGGGTTCGTTACTCCCCTTGGCCCCCATTTTTGGGCCCCTTTTGGGGGGGGGGGGTTCTTGGGCCCTTCTTTGGACCCCAATTCGGTGGTTCCTTTTTTTGGGGGTTCGGGGGGGGGGGGGGGGGGGTGAGGGACGGCCAAAAACACGGATTTGGTGCGGCTGCTACACAGCAGCTCCTGTTTTATCAGCTCCATATCCGTCGTTCCTCCTGTTTTATCAGCTCCATATCCGTCGTTGACTTTTGTTGGCATGGGGACCCTTTGGGTCCATTTTATTTTCGTAATACCTTTTTGGGGTAAGTTACCCTGTGACCGCGGGAATTGACCCCGTTAAGTGTTAGACTAGTACGGACAGAAGAAGGTACTAGGCAGAGAGAACGGAACGGTTTAATGTGAAGACAACAACAACAACATGGCAGAAAAACACGAGCATCTTGTGGGGCTGCTGGTCAAGACCCACGCAGTGCCCGTCCGGTCGCGGGCGTTTTCGTTCCCTGTCTGCTGCCAACCCTTCCGCAAAGGCTCGTCTTCTTGAGTGCAAACGCCTTTGCCAACGGCGTCCCCGAGCACCGCGCGGTCTGTGAGGGCGTGTCGTTAGTCGCAAGTCGTTTAGGGGAAGGCTCTCACCACCGGCGACGCCCCCAGGTTCCAGGACACGATGGCGCCGAGCCCCAGGCCGGAGCTGATCTCCAGCACCGACTTCCCGGCTAGCGGCAGGCAGCGCCGCCCCTCCTCGCTGCAAACGAACTCGGAGAACTCGATGGAGGGCCGCCAGACGGCCCCTCCTGTCCCCTCAACAGACACGAAGTCCTGGTTCAGCACGACTGGGGCAAAGGGTGGATAGTTGAGAGGGGAGGGGGGAGGGAGGCAAGGAGACAAGTGGGCACGTGGATGGGTAGTTGAGAAGAAGGAGGAGAATGAGGGAGGGAGGGAGGGAGGGAGGGAGGGAGGAAGAAAGAAGGCGAATAGGGCCTAATGTCGGGGAGAAGGAAACATCAACCTCGGTGGAGACACCCTGAAGACTGACGAAGAAAAAGTTGAACGCTACTTGTAAACTAATTTTTCGGGTGGAACGGCAGGGTGCATGTTTTAGCGGCGTACGCTTTCGTCAACGATCAGTAACAAATTTTTCAGAGTCGCTGTACCCGACGCCCCACCAAGCAGCTTCGCCCAACAACACCGCTCGCAAATAATTACGGTGTGCGGCACTGTGCGGGGGATTTCGTACACCAACAAACATGTCCGTGCAAAGCGCAACCCACATGAAGAGCCTACGCCATTCCGCGCCGTCGCCAGTGAACTTGTGCACAAACTCCGATATTAGTTTCCGTGGGGCGACGGCACTCTTTGGTGTACGCCCTATTAGTAGTGGTGCTCCAAATAAGCGGCGAACCAGATCCGAGACGATCATGTTGACGTTGACCCTGCTGGATGGATCATGTTGCACCCATCGGATCCATGCTCCGGAGTACACCGCCCCGCTGCAGCAGCAGCAGTACTTGAAAGCAGGAGGGGCTCTCCGCTGTCCATCAACAAAGGGAAAGAGGTCGTGCAACGCACTCTGTGTGTTGCTCTCCGAAGCTCGCACCTGGTGGGAGACCCGGGAACATGAACCGCCGCCTCCGCAGCATGAAGCTCTCCGTGTCACGCTCGAAACATGCCACTTCTTCCTCCTCGTCGTCTGACGAAGACGGTGATGTTGCGGCTTGCTGGGCCATCGAGTCCTCCTCTGTGCCTCCTTCGCTCCCTCGACAAAAATTGAAGCGTTTACCTCTCCAGTTGCATCAATGTCTCCTTCTGTTTTTTCTCTTCATGCTGCTATTCTCTCGACCACTGGGCAGTGCTGGGCAGGCCGCTGGTGGGCTGGTGGGTGGTGGGGCATCAGACAAGAAGGATTTCGGGGACGGGGTGTCCGTAGCGGGGGCACCGTGAATCATGAGTCACACATTCCCACACATTCCTCTTGCACATTCCCATCGGATGCATGTCACCACACGACGCTGGTGGTAGACATATGTATGGAGGGGGCAACGCCCAGCTTCGCCAGCAATGGACGGGCGGAAGGAGTGGCGGGGGCGACCATGGTTGAGGTGGGACTGCCGTTTGCTCTGCCGCAGCACTACGAATTGGATCAGGTGAACAAAATGCAGACTACTGCTGTACAACTTGCTGGATTTAGTCACCCCGCTTCGTAGTCTATACTAGGGAGATGGCCTACAGCAGTAGGTACAGCAGTAATAGAGAGCCCGCTCGGAGCATCAAGGGTCTAGAGATACTGGGCAACGATGTGGAAAATTTGTGCGTTCCCAGTTCGTACCGACAGCGCCGAGTGGCCTACTTGGTGCATTTTTTCTACAGATGGGTGTACCATGTACAGCTGCTGTAGTTGGGGGAGGTGACGACACCGCTGGATTTGGCAGGTAATCCGCATGTTTCATGCAATGTGAGTGTTCAACGGACATCGCGAGCCGCCGTCAACATCCACCAGTGCTACCGTACCCCTAAAAATCGGGAGTACGATGTAAAAGTGCCGCATGCATGAACTTCCGTGCAACGCTGTGCTCTGCTGTTGTCACAACGTGGGAGTAATTTTACCGAAGGACTACATGTACATAGAATACAACATTCTCGTCATGTATGGGGCCGGCCTCGCTATCCGCTGCTGCAACTACTGTAGGTGACAAAGAAGATCGCAAACGTTGAAGGTGCTCTAGACGGCACCCGCAACTACCACGGCATCACCGAGCAGGTGAGAGGCCAGCTAAGGAAGCGGCGGGAGGTCCCGGGTGGGGAGGGGGGGGGGGGGGG